CCTGTCCTGGGCCGTCCCGGGCCGTCCCAGCCCGCGCTCCCGCCCAGCCGCACGCACCGCGCTCGCAGCTGCGCCGCCAACTGCCGGGCTGGCATCTCAGGGCGGGGAGCGCCGCGCCGCAGGCCCCCGGCCTTCCTCTTCACCCGGCTTCTCCGGGGCCGCCCGCCCCGCTGCCTGATCGGCGCCGCCCCGTCCGCGGCGGTGTCCGCCTATCCGCCGACCGGAGCACCATTGCTAAACTGGGACGCGGATGCGAGGCCGGACAACGGGCCGTTCTTGCGGGAGAGGAGCCCGGAACGAGCAAAGGATCTCACTTTTGTGTTCAGGCGCCGATAGGGCAGACCCAGAAGCGCAGCCCGCGCAGGAATGTGCCGCGGCGAGCGGCGTCGCGGCAACGGGCGGGGGCAAGGGGAGAGGACGGGGCGGCGGAAGGGTCAAATCGCGCCAGGGAACGAGAGTCCGTCCCCACCTTGCAAAACTCCACGCCACGGCCGGGACCACAAATCCCGGCATGCCTTGCGCGCGACAGGGCTTTTCCGGGGGGCGGCTAGCGCCGAATAAAATTAATGAAATTCATAAAATTCATAAAATTAATAAATCGATGCCGGGCACACAGCAGTCCCACAGAAAGCACGTCAGTGCTGGAAGGGAGGCACGGTGAGAGGCTATGTTGGGATGGCTACGCCACGCCAGGGAAAGCTGAAACCATTCGTGCCAAAAATGATGCCAGTCTGTCACCAGCAGCGAGCTGGTGTGCAGGACCGAGTCCTGTTCTTCATGAAACTGCCCGTGGCAGGCACGGTGAAGAAAAGCTGCAGTCAAAATATGAAGGATCTTGTAGCCTCAAGATAGGTAGGAAGATAAAGAATAGGGATCATAGTCACCAGTTATACTACTAAAGACATATCAATTTACACATTTGTAGGAAAATTGCCTCCTAAAGACTAAAATCTTAATGTCAAATGAGTAATACAGGCATTCTGCTTTGTGTATTTGCTTCTAGTTGTATAGTGGTTAGTACAGTGTAGCCGCAGCCCACTTCGATTTTTTTAAAAATAAAAAGAGATAAAGGCTTCTGGCAAGCTACCCTGTCACTGCTGGGCTGTGAGAATTAACTGATTTCCCCTTAGTCCATTCATTTTTGATCCAAAGCATCTCAGGTGTTGTGCTTGGGAGCCTTGGCTGGGTGGGTAGCCTAAACTGGAGATCTGGGCAATTAGGATTTTCCTCACTAATTCAACACTGCTGCTGAAAGCTTGTGACCTTTTGCTTGTTTGGTCGACTTGGGGGGGTTCTGTTTGGTTTCTGTTTTGTTGTTTGGCTTTTGGTTTTATTTTTATGTAATGATTGGATTCACCATGCTTGCACAGGTGGAAGTGTACAAAGCTGGGTACTATGTCCACAGTCTGACTCTGCTCTGCTGCTTGTTGTCATGATAACGTTAACCCCTTATTTCTGAACCTTCTTTTTTCTTGCCCTAAATATAGGGTTTAAAAGCATTCATAGGAGCAAGCAGTACATGAAGTAATTAATTTTGTCACATTTACACTGTTCCTGTGTCCGCTCCTGAATCTGTGCATGTTGAGATACGAGGATTTTGTGCTAATTTCAGGAGGACATTTGCTGTCATCTTACATTTACTGCTCAGATAAGCATTGGCACAGAAGGGTCATATTCATCTTGGCACCCAGCTGATGACATCTGCCTTCTGAAACAAATAAATGTATTTCTCTTGGGTTCAGTTGTGCCAACACTGCAGGGTAGGGACAGTTTGGAAGGCATTTCCTCCAGTCTGTATCACTCAGTTCCATGACTGCTTTAATGTCCCTTCTGTGCTGTGAGGACGAGCAGTTTCTTGAAAAACATAAGAATCTTGTGGCTTGGGAGAAGAACAGTTGGAGGTGTGATGCTAGCTTGGAGCAGGCAGCTACAATTTTCTCCTGGGGACAGGGATGAGAGTTTTGTTTTGTCATTGTCTCTTATCGGTCATGACTTTTTGTTTTCCTACCAGCCTAGGGTTTTCACCGCACAAATTTTGGAGGCATGGGAGGTGTGAATGGCCACTGTGCAGCATCCTGGCCCCCTAGAAGAAACTAATTTTGACATTGGACAGTTTTTGAGTACTTCTTGAACAAAATAATATTGTCCTGAGAAGTTTGCTGTTGCACAATGAGATCCAGAGCTCTGCAGACAGGTTACTTCTGAAAGCAGCAACCACTCGGGCTATTGGCTCAGGGAAGAGCTGTAACTGGGGTAAGATTTCCCTAGGCTACACAAGGCTCTGCAGACTTGTCAACCTGCAGAACTGAGCTCAACTCTCCTTGGGTTTGTTCTCTCCCTGGGGTAGGCTTGTTACATCTACTTCCCTCCCCACCCTGACTCACAGAGAGCTGCAGCACCGGGAATCCAATGTCCCTCAGGCAGCTTGACTGCAACGTCCTGGCTGGAGCCATCCATGGCTCCCTGCACTGTGCCACCACTGGAAAAGCCATGTAGTACTGATTTCTCCAATGGGAAGAAGAAAACCAGCCCAGACTGCTGCTGTCCTCTTCATGGGACCCCTCTAAACCCCTCCTGGCCCCTTTAGCCCTGGAGGGATTGGCATGGTGTGGTGTATATTGGTCAGGTGCTTCCAGGCTGTTACATACTGGTTAAGGAAATGGCAGCTCATGCATGACCTGAGGCTCTGCAACCCAAATATATTTATTCAGAGAGGTGTGAGGTGCTCCACTGCTTGGATGCCAGTTGTCATTAAACAAAGACAATTGGTTTCCTGTGTACTTGCCTTTTGCGATTGATTGGTTTTGGTGTTTGAGATGCTGTGACCTCTGACTGAAGATAAACTACTTCCTCCTGCGCATATTCTCTCACAGCTAAAAAAGTAAGGCTGTAGCCCCTCCTTCAGCTTTGCACCAAAAGAACCTGTCACCAGTGTGGAGGAGGCTTGTTGAACTTGCCCAGGTCACTGAAGACACACCCTGATGGTTTAAACCTCACTTCCACAGGAAAGCTAGCCAAAACAAACAACTTTAAGGCAGGGTTTATTTCATTACAGACAAATTATTTTCACAGGGTTTACACCACCCCACCTCAGGTTGGCTCTGTGGCTGTCAAAAATCCCATGACAGAGACATGAAATATGAAATCTGTACTTGCAGAACAGCATGAAGCACACATGAGTGTTACCAGATGCAGAGTGGTAACATGCTGCTAAGCACTTTTGTATCAAAACCGATTTTTTTACTGATTCCTGCAGGATGCTGCAGTTTCTTCAGTGTCTGGATGCAACAGAATCCAGCCACTGTGCTGCAGCTAAAAGCCCACTGTCTGCTAGACATACAGCTGGATTTGCCAGGTATCAAGGAATGTCAGTTCTGGCTCAGAGCATGCTCTGGTTAGCCATGCTGGATACCATGAAAGAACAAGAGCAGGACAATGACAAATGGCACTTCCCCTACTACTCACCCAGCTTCTGACTACTTTCAGCTCTCTGGACTTTCTTCAGTCCTTACTGCTGTACCATGAGAGGATCAGAGGATCTGACCAGAGGATCTGCCTGAGAGGATCAAAGACCAGAGGGTACCAGGGCCAGCTGACAGGGGAACTGCCCAAGGCTGGTTATTGAGTGGATGTGCAGTCTGTGGGTGCCAGCAAACTAAGTGGGGCAGTGAGCCTTGAGGTCTTGCCATGATCAGGTATCTGCAGCTGGACGGAACAAGGATCCAGGGCTGGCTACTGGATAAACGAGCATCTGTCCTGTTACTAAAAGGCCCATGCTGTATGTCTTTTCTGTATGTTCCACTGCACACCTTCATTCCAGAGAGGGGAAGAGGATTATGGCATTGGTCCTGTTTCCATTTGCAGAAGTGCTGTTTTATAGTTTTATATGTATTTGTCTGTGTGGCTGGCCATGTGCACACACATCAGCGTGTTTTTGTCCTTACTGGGAGTACACACGCAGCCTTCATGCTGCCTGGGCCTGGCGAGACAAAGATGAAGGCAGCTTCACTTGGGCTATTAGGTTTATCACCTCCAACCAACACTTCTTCTGCAGGCAGGAGGTAATTTCTGCTAAAGAACATGGTTAAAATGCAGCCTTTGTGTGGCAAATAATTTTTTCACTACCTGTACAGACCACGTTCCTCAGTATTTTCCGGAGCAGCTGGATCTCTGCTACTGTGATGCTTCAATTATGATTAAAGTATAGGCCATCCTTTCTAGGCAGGCTGTTTGAATCCACCCCTGGATTACGCCTCCGTTGGCCAAAGCATGTCAGTGCTATGGTAATTACTTTACCAGTCAGCCTCTGCATCAGCAATGAAGGAAGGAGAAAGTGGATCTATAACACAACAAGCTAAGAGCTGACAATTCAATACTTAGGCTTATCCTGATGGGTATGACTGACTGTGTGAAGCTTGTGTGGCGAAAATAAGAATTTCTAAACTGTTCTTCCCTGAGTAGCAGCAACAAGCTAATTTGTGGGGTTTTAGTCATATATAAAGCAGGATGAGTCTATCTACACACTGTAAAGCCATCTCTCACACATTATTTTTGAGAATAATCAACAGTTATAATAAATCTTTTGGGGGACAAAAAAAAAAAAAGCATGGACTGTCTTTATTCTTTTACATGCCTGGCAGCTGCTGTCAGGATATTTTTGTTGGTGAAACACAACACCACTTCCTTAGAGATGAAATACTTGTGACAAGAGTTAACAAGGCACTTCTGTGAAAACATGACAAGTTTGCATGAATAATTTAACAGTGTAGCTGAGTTAAAAAATAGCTGCAAGATTCCAAATTAAGTATAGAGACAGGAGCTTTAAAAAGCCTTTTTCTCTACTTTAAGCAGCTTTTCCAAGAGATACAGAAAACCTATGAATCAAGAAGCTTCAGAATCCAGTGCTCTCCCTTGCCACTATCAATATCTTGTAGAAGCCTGCACTTTTAAAATCCTCTTTAGAGAATAATTTTTAAATAAACAATACTCAGAAACCAGTATAATTTCATAAAAGTTTAATGTTTGTTTTTAAAATAACACTATTTAATCGAGAAAGGAATCCACACATACAGAGTCTTCTTGGATGCTGGCAAAAGAACTTAAATTAGAGCCATACCCATGACCAGCAGATTTAACCAGTAAGAATATAGAGAAAGTTTCACTGAGTAGTCACATTAATAATAAGAAAAAGAATGTGCCCTCCAAAGAGAGGAGCAAAAGATACCATTCCAGTCATGCAAATCTGCACTCACCTTCTCAGAACAGGTTTCCAGAAGTCTGGAAATTCAACATAACATTTTCTTAGCTCCTGTGGAAAGTAATCAAGAGACAAAGAGGCAAAGACAAAGACTTGTTACAGCAAAATATGTTCATCCTAAAATCCCACTTGCTGGAGCATCTGGTGGGTTTGACCCTTACAATGCCAAATCTTAGACCCTTTTAATTGTTTCTCTCCCCTCTGCGCCAAAACCCTTCAGTAGCTGAACAGCTAGTCTGGAAGGAATTTGTCAAGCTGTTAGACTGGAACGTTAATGGACAATGACTCAAACAATCAGCCACTTGGGTGCTCTTGCTGGATGTGCATCTCACAGCCCAGGTGCAGAGGGGGCTACAGCTGGGGTTTGAGACAGATAAGGGACAAGGCCAATAAAAAGACCCTTTGGAAGTGGAATAGCTGGGGAGGTATAGGACATTCACACATAGGCCTGAAGGTGTTCATCCCTCAAGACAGGGCATAAAATATGCTGCCATGTCTTAGAAGGTGTCATAAACCACAGATACCCCCAAAGTGCCCTCAAACTAATTTCTGAGGCCTTTCACCTATCCTTTCTCTCTTTTCTTTATACATTTTCTTACATGTTATTTTTATGCATCTGTATTGTTATATTTCTACAGATAATAATCAAACCTATATACCTCCTATCCTTTGCAACCAAATTGTTCTGAAAGAAACCTGGCATGTTTATTTATTTATTTATATTTATAAACACTGGTCATTTAGTGTCATTTTACTGTAATCCAACCCCCAAGGGTTGGATTATTAACAAGAACCTCAGTTACCTCACCTTCAAGGATGGGTCATAACACAAATGTAATTACAAAATGAAAACAGCTGTCAATGAACACACTGTGATTGTAGACAGTTCACTAGGAGAAGGGATTTGTAAGAAGTAGTATAACTAAAAGCTGTGTATTTCATGCTTTAGTCTAGGGTGCTAAACATACAAAGCATAAGGTTTCATCTTACAAACCCGAAATAAATGTTCAACCTGTAAGCCTTTCTTGTATTCTGAACCACAAATTCAACTCTTGGAGAAGTAATTGCACTTACTATCTTGGATGATCTCTCTTCTGTAAACATTGTAGCAGCTTGAGGCAAATTGTCATGCTTGTATCTTGTATCAAATGCCAGATAAATCAAATGTGAATGATGAAGGACTATAGCAATGCAAATATGGGATGTTTTTTTCACCCAGCCAAACTGAATCCATTGCACGACTTCATTCCGTGAATTACTTTTGTAACCCTAGCTTGGTCTCAACAGGGATACACTGATTTTGAACCATTCCCTCACCTTGGTAAAGCAATATAACATGTGAAAATAATTAGCAGAGGACATGAAATTTAAACAGTACCTGAAAAAAAACATATTAAATGGGTTTAATTGCATTAAGCTTTCAGTTCTTAAGAGAAAATGCAGTGACAGATATTCCTTTGCTAATGGACTTTTAATATTTTTTTCCCCACTAATCAAGCATGTCTAAATACTTATCCTGCAGGTGCTTAGCTACAAGACTCCTCTCATCTAATTATTGGCACTTAAATTTAATTCCTGCTTTTTTCATCTCTGACATGATATGAATAGAGCCTAATGTGAGTGAGATCTGATATGAAGACCATCCCTGTAATTTCTTTACCAGATAGCTATTACAAGGGCATGGCTCCTCCTACAGTGTTATTTTGTTTCTATATTCATGGCTCCTAAAGCATTATTTTGTTTCTACATTCATCTAAAGTTTGTAAGCAAATGAAACAGGGTGGTAAGACAAATGGCTTGTAGTATTTCCGTGTTCTAAGGTTCTGGCTGAAACTCCCCCACAAAAGCATATTCTTGAACAAAAACTGTATTTGATTAAGAATTGAAAACATTACTTTGTGTGCTCTACTGTCTGTAAAATGTAGATTCTTCAGTCAGGCTGCTGGAAAAGGAAATACTGTTTGCCTTGAAGCAGCTCTGATGCAGGTTTTATTACCCGCAGGTGTTCAACTATTCTCCACCACCTGCCCAGCCAATTCTAATGGCTCTGCTCTCTACATCCAGCACTGATGGACAGCTTCATGGGAATTGTAACAGCAGCTTGACTCATTTTACCAGAGCCTAGAACTGCTAAGATACAGTAATCAGCCTTCTCATCGCAAGGAAGATGACAGCCCAAGAAGAGGTGGAGGTGGGATCCGAAAACAGAATCCAGAAACTAATTCTAACTGTGGAGCCTTGGATTTCTGCTCTAAGGCAGAATATAACCGTCTGCAGCTGCGTTATTCTGCTCAAGTTGGTTACACACATGAATGCATCCATATTGTCTGAAAACAGCTGACAGAAAGGATAGTCTAGCAACCATAACTTGCACCTCCCTCTTCTTCTTTCCAGACAGAAGCAGAGGAGTCAAGTAAAATAAATCTTATGGCTGCTTTGTACTTCCACACTGCTGGCATGTAAGCTGTTTGCACATAACCATGCAACAGGCACAAAAGGGCTGAGGTCTGTCTCAGAGAATGATTTTGCTGCCTTTAACCTTTTGTAATGTTCTGAGAGAATAATAAACCAGCACAGTATTACATCAGGTGCCACATGAAAACCTGTCTCAGGTGACTTCTCCTGCCTTCTGCACTAAAGAAATATAGTTTTGTCATGCTTTAGGATGCACTGGTTTGGTGGGTGGTTGTGGTTTTTTTTTTTTTAAATCTTCTGCTATCATCACTTACTTTCATAGGTATTTCTAAAACCTGTTTGGGGTTTACCAGGATTAAAAAAAAAATTACATTTGCCCACATTTCCTACTGTTTCCATGAGAAAATTTAAGTTGTCTGTGAAGCTTCTCTTAGATAAGTATTAAGCATTTATTTCCACCCTTGGCAAAAATTAAGGAATCATAAAACCACAAAGACTGGAAAAGATTTCTAAGATCATGGAGTCCAACTGTTAACCCAGCACCATTGTGTTCACGACTGACCCATGTCCTCAAGTGCCACATCTAAGTGTCCTTTGAATACTTCCAGGGATGATGATTCCAGAAACAGCATGATGATTCTGCCAAACAGCAGAGACCTTATATCTTAATCTACTACTTATACTTTTTATCACTAGAGCACAAATACATTAGTAAAAAAATTACTAAAAGAATGATGGTTGCTATATTTCTCACCTGCTCACACACTATTTAAAATTCTAAAACAAAAAAAAATCCCCCCAAAAGCCTATGTACTGCTTAGTTAAAACTTAGTCAAAGACAAGATTCCCTCAAGCTAGAAGCAAGGCTTACCTACACAACAGACTACCCCAGGAAAAACTAGTTTTGCCTAAAACATTTGAAGGTTTTTTTTCCCCTTTCCAAATGTACATTCAAAAAGACTGGAAGAAGTATTTAAAACTCACCTGGCCTTAAAACAGACTGATAGCATGACTGCAGCTTTTCTATGTCTCTTCTCCAAGCGCTTCTTAATCAAGCTTGGCTTTGCAACAAACTTCATCCAGGAGAAAGGATGTACCAGCCTCCATCATGACAAACTAAAGGTTACAGCATCAAATCACTTAAGAGTTAATCCACTGTTCTTTAGATTTACTAGGTATTTGTGCCTGGTTTGAAGTAGTGTAAAAATAGAAACATTCAAACTATATTTGTTTCCTTCCTATCAGAAGCTTTCTGAAAACCAGGAAAAGGCAGCTTCTTGTGCTTTCTGCAGATTTTAGAGAAGTATATCAGGAAGGAGAGGTAAGGTATTGCACCATTCCAACAGACAAATAAATCCCCATTAACTCACCCCTCCTCCTGAGGATCTTGAAGAGTCGAAGGCCAGCCTTGAAATTAGGCTTCCCAGTCAGTGCACTATGCTACAGCTCTGCCAGCACAGGGGATGAGTACAGTGGATAAATCATTTACTGCAAGCCTCTGGAAACCACAGGGAAAAAAAAAAAAAAAACAACAAACCAAAACCAAACAAACAGGAAAAAAAAAAAAAAAAAGAAAGAAAAAATACATAAATAAAAATACATGCCATTTCATGAAATTACAGTGTTAATGCCTCTTGTCTGCCGATCTGCCCAGATTGGCAGACATCACCCATTATATTCTTGTCCATTCCAGAGGTTCAAGGATTACCGTTTACTTCTTTCCCAAAAGAAACCAAGTTAATCTTCCTTCCAGGAGTAAAGAGCTCTACCTCCTCTCAGGGATAGACTAAAGGGCATGAAGAGAAGTAGTATTTAATTTAGACCACAGGAAAGTTCAGATTCTGGAAAGCTTTAGACATATATGGGGTAACAACTTCCAGTTTCTCCTTTGCAAAGTTCTTGCTTGCTCTTAGTGCTAGCCCCTCTCCATTCATGGCCAGCCACCTTCAGCACTGACCACGACTGCTACTTGTAGAAGCAAATGTAAAGTACAGAACAAGGATAACAGAATTATATTGTCCTTTCCCCAAAAATAAAGTTAATTTTTAAAATTAAGTTCCACACAGGTAACACAGCATTGAATAAGCTTGTCTGAAGAACACTGTCCAGATTAATGTTTGCCACTCTATGCACTGAGACCTTCATGAAAACCAATCTACAGAAGGAAACTAACCAGAAATCATGTGTGTATTTCAAAACAGCACCATCTAAAGTGCAGAACTCTAGAAAAATTAATATTTAATAATTTAATATTTACTAATTCCCTTCCCTGCACTTATATCTCTCAATACAAGGCAGGTAAGAAAATTAATTCCCCTTCTCCTATGTGGATTTACAAGAAGAACTTTACTGAAAAAACTGGAAAGAAAACATGGGAAAAAACTTATCTGTCAAATGTAAACAAACAAACTCAGGTATATGAGAAAAAAATACAGATGAAAACCAAGAAGCAACTACAAAGGATTTTTTTATAAATCAGGATTTAAGCAATCTCTACTCATGCCCCAACTCCATTTTAAAATATCAAAGCATGTCAAACCTGGCTTGCTTTGGTTTTGACAGTCAATCAGCCATCTGATGGAAGTAGGGCAACAATGCTAACAAAGATTTCCTATATTCAATGCAGTTACTGCTTGACATCATAAAACCAGCTCAAAGAGATTTTCTCAAAACTCTCTTCCTTTCTTAATTACCTTTTTATTGTTGACTTGACCATTTATACTAGATTTCCAAATTCAGCTCAGACAGTTCTTACATTTCTTATATGGAAACATCATAAAACTCTGAGAAACATTTCGTACCTTCCTCACACAGTCATGGAAAATGAGACAAACGATGATTTTGCCTTCTCCAGAGGTCCATGTGCTGATTACAGAAATTCAAGCTCTGATGGAGTCCCCCCCTGATGCCCCAGCTCTGGTTTTACACAGGGTTCAGGACTTCAAACAAACTTCCATTGATGATGTTGACAGTAGTTCTTCCATTGACTTCAGCTGGGAATAAACTGTTTTTTATTGAGCAGGCTAACTGTTGAGTATCTTCATCCTCTACAGTTTCTCAATTTTATCAACTACTACAAGAGTCAGAAACTAATTTAAAAAAAAAAAAACAACAACACTTTTACTGAGTTAAGGAAAAAAGAAAACCAAAAAGAAAGCTTTGTTGACCTCCATGTTTATTTTTTAAAACAATTTACAAATAAAAATGTTATATTTATCCAAGGAAACACATTTAATACTTTAGTCTTTAACAAGCTATACAAATGAGAACCATAACATTCAATATCTCAAGGACCATTCAGGGCAGGCATGCATGTGTCTGTATCACATGAAGCGAGTCCAATTCCTGACACCAGGGTTCTGATCTTCTACTTCTTCAGAGCTGGTCAGCTGCTAAATGATTTAACACAAATAGTTACTGGATCACAATAAAATGAAAGAAAGCCCATTTCAAATCATGTAAGTGACCTCAATATGTCTGGTCCAGTTGTCAGGCCACAGAGCCTTACCGAATAGTTTTCTTCTCCAAAAGCCAGTCAGGACAGATTTTCTCCCCTTGCTTAGTGATGTGGCATCCATACATGTGCTTATACAATACAGTGAAACACCTTAAGTACAGATGTAATACAACAGTAATTACAAATCACAGAGACAGATAAACAGACAAAATTAACTCTAAACACATTCTTGCATTTCAAACAAAAAAAGTAAACAAACCCATGCATTACAGTTCAAAGAAATGATCAGTTTAGGTCTTCTGCAAGTCTCCATTTCCTCAGTTCTAAATTGCTGTTCTTGTGCTTGTCTCACCAGCTGGGCTACTCACGGTGCTACTGACACAAACTGGGTGAGCTGGAAATCACCCAGGAATGGTCAAAGAATAAAAGCCCCCAAAATAAAGAAGACGTACGCATTGTCTATGAGAGTCCATTTTAATAGCAGAGTGTAGAAAAGAAACTGGCAAAAAAAAATCACATGAAAAAGCATTTTACACAATTAATTACGTACAGAATAAAGTATGTGGCTGCCTTCTGATGACTTACATTTCACTTTAGTGAAGTCCTACCACAGAATGCAAAATACACCCAAAACTCTCAGTTGGAGCAAAAAGAAAAACAAACAAAAACCATATACATAATCCCAGCTCTGGCTCCTCAAATATTGGGACTAGCTGGGTTTATTTCAACCCACTGGGCTTTCTGCTATGCTTTTAGCAATTCCTGAATTCATTGTAGCTTCCAAACTACTGTCAGGAGCTTCTGTTTGCTCAGTCTTCTTGCTCCAGATGGTGCACATTCCCTTGCCTCCTGAGCCACCCACCTTCCCATGTGTTTCTTTGAGCCCAGGCATTAAAGTTTCCACGCAGACAGATGCCTGACTTTCTGTGCTGCCTCTGTCACAACTCAGTGACAGCATTTCAACAGTGCCACCTTTGGTCTCCTTCACTGCCACAAGTATCTCAGACGTGGGAGAAATGCCCTGCATTTCTAGAACCGGCATGACCACTTCTGTAGTGTCACTACTTGAGGTCTGTGATCCAGGCTGCAGCATAGGTTTCTGAGAAATTTGTGTGCAAATTTTATCTTCACAACTATCAGAAGTCAATGTAGTAAAATCAGTAATCTCTGTTTCATTCACTGTTCTTTCAATGCCCAGTTTTTTAAGTTTACTGGACTCCAGCCTAATGGAAGCAATAGTTTCTGGTTTTGTGACTTCTTCTGTACTTTCCTTTAAAAGTCCTTCTGAAAGGATGCTGAAACATTCATGTTTTACCTTATTGCCTCCCAAATTGAAATCAGTGCTTGTCACCTCAAGGTCTGCTTTCTGGGAGGGAGTTTTCATGTGTTTCACATCCTCTAATGGTCTATTGAAAAGAAGATTATCTGATGCTCTTGCATCAGATCCAGTGTGTCCTAATGACTTTTTTTCATTTTCAGCTACTAATTCTAGACCAGATCTGAGTTCAGCAATGTTCGAGCAGGTACTGACTAACCGTTCAACTCCCTGCTTCTGGGTTTGGTTATCTAACATGGTATGGCCTGAAGGTTTAAATTGAACTTTTTCTTGAGCTTCTAATAGCGTATTTTTCGTTTCTGTCTGTCCCTCTGTCAATTCTGAAGCATTAACCTCATTAGAACCAGATTTTATTTCTGGATTTGGAGTATTTGATAGATCCCAACCACCTTCAGAATAAGAATCAGTTGTGACTCTCTGTTCTTTTCCATTACTAGTTCTGGAAGTGCCCCAGAGCAAGTCTGGACTATCAGTTTCTGAGTGAGTTTTACAGTTATCATTTAACTTTTCCTCTATGAAATGGGAATTTCCCAAACTTTGAATTTTGTTCTGCATCTCAGGTGACAAGGTGTTTGGGTGTAGGCTATGTTTAGGCTTTACTGCTTTTATTTCCCAGTCTTTTATCCCTGTCTCCAAGGTGCTAAGAACATTTGTGTTTGTAACTGGAGTTCTATTTCCATCTTCCTGTCCAATCTTCTCTTGGATCTCAGTTTTCTGTAGAGCACAATATTCCAGACTGCCTGCCTGCTCTCCACCTCCTGTATCAACAAGTCCAATTTCTGCAGACATCTGGATACCAGAAACAGGTTTTTTTTCTGCTAATTCTATGACTAACATTTCTGATAGGTGAGGCTGAAGTGATTTCTTGTTCATGTCAGCCTGATTTTCAACGGGAACCAAACTCCCTGTCACTTGATTATTACACTGTGAAGAATCCACATTCTCAGAATCCTCTTTCAATGAGGATGAACTACTATTTGTTCTATGATTTGCAGATAAATCTGCAGGTTTTGTTATGTTAGGGTTTTCTCCATTTGAAAGCACAGAATTTGCAAGCCTGCTGTCAGCTGAACCCTTTCCACCACTACTGTAGAAAATATCATAGAGATCTTTAGCATTGGCTGTGGCCAAGCAAGAATTTCGTTTCTCTATCTTTTTTGCTTGTTCACTGAAAGCAGTTGAAGGTGGTGGTGGTCTCACAGGCATTGCCAACATTGTCTGTTCACTTTCAGACACACCTGGAGCTACTTCATCTGCAGGGACGAGAGCTGCCGGCTGGACTGCTGGTGGAGGATGAGGTGGAGGTAGTCTATCTGCTGTCAGAGAAGACTCATTTTTCTCTGCTGCTTTCAAATCCTCCTCTGAGCCTTTTAAAATTACTTCTTCTCCTCCAAAAGCTCTTGATATGATTTCTGGAGGCAGTAGAAGATCTGCATTTGTTTCTTTTACTACTGGCAGTGGTTTGGTGGTAGTTCCAGAGGATTTTATGGATAAAAAGGTGTTCAAAGGTGGTGGTTTACTAACTGTTGCAGTACTAGACTTCCTGAAAATCATGGTGGGGACTGGTAGATTGGGGAGAATTTTTGTTGGTGTCGGTGTGGAATTAACTGGTATCCATGGGCTAGTGTGTGGAATAACAGTTTTCCCAGACAACTTGATTTCAATGGGCTTGATATGGGATTTCACAGACTGACACTTGTTCTCCTCTTTGTTTCCTTCTGTATTCTCTTCTTTTGCAATAGCTCCTGGTGTTTTATCCTCTCTCTCAGTCTTTTTCCAGCTGAATTTCCCAAAGGAGGTCTGGGTTGGAGATTCCTTTTTAGATTCCTCTTTCTTTTCTTCTTTCTTCTCCTCTTTCTTATCTTCCTTCTTTAGCTTGACCGTGATACCTATTTTTCGCCCAGAAGCATCTGTTTTGCCTTGAGTTTCATTATTCCCTTCTCCAGACTCAGGGATGCTCTTTACTTCCTCCTTCTTTATAATTTTTGGGGTTTTCTCATCCTTCTCTTCCTTCTGTTTCTCAACCAGTTTCCGTTTCAGCTCGTTTTGCCGCCTGCGCTCTGTTTCCAGAACAACAGCCAATCCAGCCTGACGGTCTAGATTTCTCCTCTCTTCATAGAGTGGGTTTTCATCTATGTATTTCTGTGGAAATAAACAGCAACATTTTAGCCACCATTTCAATGAAAAATAAATAAATAAATGCATCTCTCTGACAATTTTGACTTGCTCAGTAAGTGCCAACTCAACACGAAGAGAACGGGGAACTTTTTCCCATCAAGAAACTGAGGTACTACAAACTCCATGCAGTAGTGCTGTCACTTTACAGTAGACACATTTCAGCTTCATGCAGGTAAAGTATCTCTATGTACTGGTGTAGTGGGAAGTTCTGCTTATTTAGTTCAGTAGAATATAGTAGAGATAATCGAACACATACTCTCCAAGGAGTTAGATGTGATTCTTCACAAAAGGAAGACAGAACAAATGGAACCTAATTTAGGGAATATCTCTTTCCTAGTACATCAGTTACCAACCTTATACTTCTCATTGTGGGGATGACTTTTCACATGCTGCTCTGCTGAGATCTGATCTCCAAAAAATTCATGACAGAGCTGGCAATAATGTCCAGTAATGGGAATCAGAAACTCAGAGCCTGAAAAGGCCAAAGAAAATTATCAGAGAAATAAAATCTAATAAATGCCAAGCTCTTAACAAAGTTGGTCAAAGAACAACAGCAAAACCTCCAGTAATGTTCTTTTTGGAACAGTTAATGCTGCTCTCTTTACAGTTACACAGGAACTACCACTACCAGGAACAAACATGCAAAGTGAAAAAGTTTATTACTATGGTTCAAGATTTAAGTGCTCTCCATCATATTAAGGTAATTGAGCATTCAAGTAGGTTAATGTTTCCTACAGCTTTGATCTATTTTCCATCTTTATGGTACAGTCTGCTCAAATACTAAATACCTGGTTTATAAACAGAACACAAATATTTTCTTTGACGCAAGGATGCAAGATTGCATCCTTGTGCCTACAGAACCTGCTACAGTTATCTAAGCAGGTTCTGTAGGCACAAGGATTCTGTAGGCACTGCCGATTCTTCTTTAGTAGGCACTACTAGAAATATGTAACAGATTAATAAAAGGAGTTGATCACTGGCAGGCCTTTTAGACATTCATATTTTAAGTTCTGTAGTAATTTTCAACTCAGTTACAGCTTCTGCCATACATCTGTCTCAGATTCTCTGTATCTGCACTATAACAAGTAATCACTGGTCAATTTTCAGGGAGACCTCTGCTAAAAATGTACTGAATGGAAAAGTCTACTACAAGACTGTGTGGAATACTGTGCAAGATCTCCCCAAACACTGCCAACTATTGTGGTCATGCTCTGAATTCTAATATGTTGGCAAAAATGACTTCAGAACTACACTGAAAGACAACTGATATACAAAATGAAAAACTAATCTCTAAAAAGAGAAGAAACCACACTTTTCCTACACTCTTGCTTGAAGACCTTTTCCACAAGAACAGTCAAGAAACTAAATAATTTGCCTTTTTCCTAATAATACAGTATCTATAGGTGCTCCTGTACCAAGGTAAAGTTTTGAAAATTCCTTTCTCTGACCAAGTGAGACTTGCTGGAGGGCAAAGATGGATGATAGCCAAGTTAATAAAAATTAACATACCTTTGGCAGGAACTGTTATCTTATCAATGCGTTTTATGGACTCTTGTTTGGTCTCGCTCTGGGTCTTTGCAGCCCAAGGTCTGTTGTAAGGATCCAGGGTCTATTTGCACAGTGACAGAGGTATATAGGCTCATATATTACACTAGCAAGGCAAGTACACTTGTCTTTTTCCTTTTTAATATTCTTTTAGAACACTGAACATTAAAATCAATGTGCAAATATTTACAACAACTAATTTTCCTCTCTTTTCCCTCCCATTTTGCAATTTACAATAACAAAATAACCTGTGAAAAGTTTAAAATATAAATGACCACAAATAACACGTGAACATGTGAAACACACAGGCAAACCCAAGCAAACTGAACACAGGCCCCATTTACACTATTTGGAATACACCAGTAGCTGTACAACTGCTCAAGTCCAACATTAGGGGAAAAGAATAAGTTGAAAGTTATTTCTTGGGTTCATTATTACTTCAGGTTCTCTTGTAAAATGTAGCTTTGTGATGTATGTTTTAGTGTTAATATTCATAGCAATATGAAATGCATTTAGTGAAGGAAGCCTGCAACATACCTGTCTGTGTTTCTTATTATGCATGTGTGTGAAAAAGTCAAACATGGTCCCGCAGATGGTATTGCAGTCTTTGCACCAGTGGTTCCCTGCATCATAATATTCATAAATATTGGCCAACTGGAAAGGATGTTTGGAGGACTGTGAAGAGGATTCTGCTGGCTTCGGGCTTCTACCTCTTGATTTTTCATTTGTAGTTTTTGTTTCCTAAATTGAACAGAAGGAAACACTTCTCTAAGACAAGGCAGGACAGACAAAATGCTCTAGAACTCAGAACCTGCCTCCAGCAGAAGCCATACACACACACAAAAAAAAAAAATATATCACCTGCTTTTCAGCGCCCAGGTTAATTCCACTGTTTCAGAGAGCTGGTATTGCCGACTAAGATGCTGCGTGGCTGCAGTGAAGAGTATCCAATAAGAGTCCCAGATGTAATGGCTGGATGGTTGTAGGTAATCAAGGAACCAAATGAACAAATTCCCTGTGGCATGCACCCTTCCCACTTTATTGGTTTCACATAACAGTTCCAATTTACCATACTAGCCAAACAGTGCCCAGAAGACCTCAAATGGTTCCCCTAGAGGCATTCAGAAGTTACTGTAAAAGTAGCTTGGATGACAGCAGAATAGAAAAGGAAGCAAAAATCAGGTGACTACAAGTATTTAACTCCATCAGCTTTATCAGATTATTTGAGTGCTCCTGAACTCTCAAGAAAACTTATTGCTTAATAATAAAAGAAAGATGGTGTTTTTTTAATTAACTAAGCATATAGGGTGAAGGATCTTGTGATTTAAACATGTGATGTTTGCACTTACATTGATCTGTACAGAAAGACACCATATAGTGATATACAGACATTTCAGAACTCTATCGAAAATTAATACTAAACTAAACTTGTAGCAAAACAAGTATTATCTGAAATATACCATTAATGAGCCCTGGTAATTTAGATTACAATAGTACTAGATGTACTTTGAGTTCTCAGTTGTATTTTCAATGGCATAAAGTGCATCATGTTATCATTTTGCAAGGCAGTCTGGAAAGAACAGCATGTTAATTTAGCAGACTCAAGTTGGTTGTATGATTTCCAAGCTATTCACTACCAGTACTGAACAAATTTATTTAAGTAGATTGAAAATTGTCAAATAACATCTGCCTTACTTTAAATTCCTTAACACCACTCCCCATAATATACACTGTAAATCAAAGAACGAAGACACAGCCAGGCCACTATGCACCCCACAGATATCCATATCCCAATATAATCTAGTTCTTGGTAGCAGAATAAGAAGTGACCCAATGAATATTTGCACGTATTCTGTCAGCAAGAACATAGCATACATTCTCTTGAACAATGAGATCAACTTATGATCTGCAGGAGGTGCATGGAAGGATGTTCACAATGTCACACAAGCATCAATGTTTATGTTATTTATAGACATACACCTATAAAAATACTATCTCAATCAAAACTTTAAAAAGACAATGCTTCTCAGCCCACTCTTAACTCCAGTTTGTGCATTACCCCAGCTGAATGATGCCTTTATAATTTGCTATTATTTGGAGCCTGTCTATTTAGCACAGTAACACTGGCTTCACCTCTGCATTTGCTCTGTAACTACAACACACAGACACAGGGTCAGCAGCAAGGGACCACAAGGTGCCTTGCAAATAAGCAGAAAGGCAAAGGCTTTTGCCCTCAGGTTGGCAAAGTCAACCAATCTCAGTGTTGAAAGGCCAGCACCATCTTTCTTTTCATGAAAAAAAATTAATCAGAACTACAATATGAATTTTAGAGGCTAAAGGCCATGTCCTATGTGCCTACATATGTATGAAAATATTAAATGTTCCTGTCCAGGACTCACAATTTTCCATGTTAAAATAAGGAACTATGAAAAGGAGATCAAGTCATTATGAGTTTGGATGACACAGATAATCCAAACTAAAATAATGAGAAATATATTCACACATGCCATGTCTCAAGAAAAGAAAACAATATAACTTAATGCAATGTAAGACTTAACAAACATTTTTGCCTACTTTAGTTTTATAAAGTGGGGATTGAAGCAAATGGTTTGTTCAAGCAAGTGGACAGTAAACTTCAGAGATGTTTCGAGAAACAACAAAAAACCAAAAGCAAATCTCTAAATTAAAGATACCTAATGAGTTCTCAGACCACAATAAAGCAAAAGGAAAATTTCACAGGATAAACAGATTTGAGTGACTTTGGAAGAAATACAGAACCACAAAATGGGTAAGGTTTGAAGGGACCACAGTGGGTCATCTGGTCCAACCTCCATGCTCAAGCAGGGTAATCCGAGAGCACATGGCACAGGATGGTGTCCAGATGGTACTGGAGTATCTCCAGTGAGGAAGACTCCACAACCTCTCTGGGCAATTTGTTTGAGTGCTCAGTCACCCAAACAATGAAGAAGTTCTTCCTCACATTCAACTGGAACTTCCTGTGCATCAGTTTCTGCCCACTGCCTCTTGTCCTATTGCTTGACACCACTGAGAAGAACCTGGCTCCACGTTCTTGACATCCTCCCTTCAGATAAACTGATGAGATGCCCTCTCAGTTTTCTTATACCTCTTACCCTACTAACATTTTTCTCCCTGCAAAAAATATATATGCTAAGATCTACATAAAATTAATCTACAATTTCCCATTAGCTATTTCTGTTACATATTTGAATAAACATTTGAAAAGCAGGATAATTGATTTCCTGAACACAAACATAACCTTTCAGATGGTAGTATCCATCCTACTTTCAAAGTAAAACTATCTTCTGGAATGCAGAAAGCCTGTTCTGGTACATCCAGCACAGAGTAGTACAGACCATGTCAGAGAGACCATACTGATGCATACTGATATTTCTTAAGAGAGAACATATGTATACAAAAAACATCTTATGCTGACCATCATCTTTAAGTCTTGTGATATGCTACAGTGAGACCAATGTGCTCCCAACTTTCAGAGAGTTCTGCTGCTCCTCCCTGAAAGGCCATGACAGAAAATATGTAGAGAAAAAATAAGTCTGTCCTCCTGGTACGGTATTGAGACCAAACAGCTACACACACTCATGATACCGTTCAATCCAACCAACACCTCAGCAATACCAAGATAAAAAACAGTAAGTGGTGCTGAATTGCACAAAACCCGAGGGACATTATATACACTGATACATTGACTCTCGCCTACATGCACCACCAAAGCCAGTGTATGAGATGTAGTAACAAATGACATCAAATGATCCTTTACTAAATGTTTGGGACCAGCTGTCTCCCCAGTGCCCTCTTCTCTTAGTGGGAAAGTCATTAGCAGACAAACTTTGTAAGACTTTACCTTGCTGGAGGAAGATGTTTTCTCTACACCTTTTGCATTTTCTGACTTGCTGTTCTTTTCCGAAGAATCTTTAGTTTCCACAGATGGTTTCCGGGCTTTTTCAAATATGTTAATCCCCAGGATTTGTGCTACTTTGTCAAGCTCAGATTGCTTCTTGTCAGCTGCATCAGATTCTTTATGCAGCTCTGCAATCTCCTTCATAATATTCTCTTGTAGTCTGTTCACCTCAACCAACAAGGGGTCTTTGTGTCCGTCCTTCTCACGACGTTTTTTCCTCAACATCTCACCTGAGCCAATCAAGGAAGCAGAAGAGTCAGAAAAGCAACAGGAAAACTGACTTTAGATCTGTACAATAATTCCAGCAACAGGTAAAATACTAATATAAAATGTTATGGCTAAATCTTCACTATAAAGTTGTAAAGATGGAACTGACTCTCAGGTACAACATTACTAAATCTGCATGATGGGCCTCTATAGGGACTACATTAACACACACCCTAAGAGAGGCACCTCCAGAGTATCAATTTATAATCACTGTTTCCTTGTGTAAAAAACAAGCAAAAGTTAAATTGTCCATTTTAACCTGAAATTATAATTTTCCAAAGGTGAGGAATTAAGTATTTACTCGGACCAAACAAATTTTAAATACTCAAAAAATTAACTCTCTTGAGAGAGGACTTTTCCATCTCCAGATAAGATTCATGAAAAATTTAAAGACACAATAACATCTTCAGTCACTATTTCTCACTTCTTCTGAAGAATCACTAAAATGCATAAAGTACAATTCCTTTAGTTTATCAAGCCAAGAAGATGCAAGAGCAATTGTCTGTTCAAATTTTGATGTAATTCATCTTAATATAGTAACTAGGTCACTGCTTTTTCAAGAGTTGTGCATTGCCAGGAGTATGAAAATACATTATGGACTATTCTTATTTTGGTCCTCCTTCTCCTGTTAGATACCAGGACTTGTGATACATCCCAATGGGGGGAAAAAAAGATGCAGGGGGTGGGAGAGTGGTAATGCATTTTACCTTGCTGTTTACGAAGCCTGTCCAATTCAGTCTTGAGATAGTAAAGCTTCTTCTGCCGTGCTTCTCGATCACTCTTCAGTTTTTGTCTCTCTTCTATCACCTAAATAAATTGGAAGGTGTCTGGATTTTCTTCTCTTCCCAACACAAGTTAAATAGTCTTGCAAGAATGACAGGAAGAACTCAGCTTTATCGACACAGAACACTCCTTGCTATTTCCAAAATGCTCTTGAGTATTTTAACACAATAAATATACCTCTCCCTCTGTATCTGAAAATAACTGTATTCTGTGGTCATGCCTCAACCCAGTTTGTAAGATTTTTTTTTCTTTTGGGCAGTGTATTCCTCTAAACTGCTGTTTGTTGCACCACTTCTTAAGGCCCCTAGGCTCAGCTGACTATCTTCTACAGGGCTAATCAAGATCAATGACAAATGGTTGTTCCAAACTCATGCTGAATCTCTACAGCTAGCATATTCCATCAGCCTTCACAGCCCTTCACCTTGCCTCCTGCTTTGACTCTGACCCATTTCAGCTGTTAGGTTGTGCTTCAATCTGACATGAAACATCAGGATGAAATTTGTTACTTGTTCAATAAGGTAAACTGTGGCATGAGAAGCTCACAAATCCTTTTTTTTTATTGGTTTTCATTGATTCTCATAGAAGGAAACAAAGCAATATGCTAAAATGAAATCTGAAAAGTTCTTTCAGTTTCTTTTCCAGCTTCACTTTTCAAGAGAGAAATCCCATTTTTTCACCTTCACAAGGCTCTTAAATCTTATTACAGACTCTTTCCTTAACAAACAAGTGATCTTGACTTCCCTAGACAATCTCTTCTACTGTAGCAATGTCAACGTTGGCTGGATCCCTGAATCCTTCCTGAAGTAGTTCTACCAACATAGTTAAGCTACATCTTAAACAACATAAGGAGTTTTTTTGATTATTATTATTTTGGTTTTGTATGCTGTTTTTTTTTATCATCAAAGCACCATTCTCTCCTTCTGAGTTTTCTGCAGCATGGGGGCATCAAGTGGAGCATGGCAATTTTTATATTCCAAGTCATCCCAGCAAAAACCCAGTGGACTAAGCCCAAGACAAAGATTTCTGTACTGCAAACAAATCCTTAGAAGTTCTACCAAGATGCACAAATGAGCTACCAAGGTGTGTCAGGGCAGGAGAAAACCACACACCTTTAGCCAAGAGAGCTCTTCCAAAGGTACTAAATTTCATTAAGAACAAAATTTCAGCTATGTCAGCTGAAGAAATTATTCCTGCAAGAAGTGGAAGCTCACTTATTTGCTGACGCGGCACCTCATACAAGTGAAGAAAAAGCTCTTATAATAAGAGATCATATTGCAGCCTCCATACCTAAAGTGGTTTGAGAGAAAAATGTGTACGATATTTTACCAAGGTCTGTAGTGACAGGAAAAGTGGTAACAGTTTCAAACTAAAAGAGGGTAGATTTAAACTAGATATAAAGGAAGCATTTCTTTACAAGGTGGATGGTGAGGCATGGAAACAGGTTGCCCATAGAGACTGTGGACTCTCCAGCCCTGAAGTCTTCAAGGCCAGGTTGGATGGGGCTCTGAGCAATCTGGTCTAGTGGAATGTGTCCCTGTCTATTGCAGTGGGGTTGGAACAAGATGAATTTTAATTGTCCCTTCATACGAAAATAATTCTATGCCCTTATTTTAACAATAAAGACCAAGTGGATACCAGTCTGAAAACTCAGCTTTTGGGAATCATCCAGATCTTTGACAGTTGTGCAAGTACAGTTTCCTATTTTAAAATACATTCTTCCCCACTACTCTCTAATTATGGTATAAACCAAGATAATTAAAAGAGGAAAGCACTAACACGTATGACCTGAATTGGTGTCAGAGCCCCCAGGTAGTTTCCCCTAAATTCTTCTCATTTTGTGATTTTTGTAAGAGAATTAATATAAATGTAGAGGGAAGGTTGTATGTGACGGTGAATGATGACATCCTTTAGAGTGTATTTAAGAATGTCTAATACAGGTATAGCCATGGTATTTTGTAGAATGTAGCATGTCCTGATGGAGCCTCCTGTGTTTTAGTTTGTGTCTCCCGCGTCTTGTTCTGCCACTGGACATCAGTAAAAAAAGACATTTAATTTTCTTTACCCTGTCCCTTCAGATTTTTACATATCCCCAGGTATCTTCAGGTATTTCAATATCTAAATCTCACCAGAATAAAGCCAAACTGTGGCCACCATGTGTTTTCTCTGTAAGATTTTGGCTGGTTCAAAGAAATTCAACTTTGTTTTTGATTTCATCTGTTCTGTCATAGCCAATGGCATACAACTTCAGGAGATTTACAATGCATTTTTTACAAGTGTCACAGATTAATACAGACAAATACTTAGAAATCTCCAACAGAAGTAAACTAGGTCAAACTATTTTTAAACTGGAGCAGAGGGTTGAACTGGAGCAACTCAGAAAAAAAAAAAAAAAAGGTGCACCTGAAGAGAAAAAGCTTCCACCCCACCAATCATGCAGTCCAACACATTCTGAAGTACCAGAATACCTAACATACCTTCTGCTTTTGAGCTGCCCGATTTTTTTCATCCGACATCCTTTCTGTGGTATTTTTGAGAGGGTGTGACGACAGACGAAGGGGTGCTTTGGAATGAGAAGGAGTGGTAGGGACTTGAACAAGCACAGAACCATCTCTTTTTACATCAGGGACATCCTTTCCCAGAGAGACTGTCTCAATCACCCGGAGATTGGGACGTGTGGGGTTCGCTGACATGGCCATAGTAAGAAGACCATGAGCTTCTGGTAGCGTAGGATTAGGCTGTTGGGCAGTGGGGTACATAGGCCAGCCAGGGGCTGCATATGCCATATAGTGCCCATATGCATCATATCCTGGAGGTGCCATTGTGGGAGTGGGATAGTTTTGGGGCATTTGAGCAGCAGTGTAATGGGAATAGCTAGGAATCTGGTATTGGGAAACAGAAGTAGGTGTAGGTGGCAAACTAGCAGGAGTTGGTGGAATTGAAGGAATGAGAGAGACAGAAGGAAGAGGCTGTTCTGGTGCATGTGCAGGTATCTCCTGTCCCACTGGCTTGTTCTTCATATAGTCTGATTTCTGAAGAGAGGACGCATCTTTAGGCTGCTGGAAAGAGCCTGGAGGCGACGCTGAGCGCTGCTGGCCCGACTCAGGAGAACGAGTGTCACTGCGGCTGCGGCGTAGCTCCCAAGCATCCAGCCTGCAAGTGTTTGAAGAGCGACGATCCGGAGAACGAGATGCCAGCTTTTTGCCATGAAGGCGTTCCTGGGTACGAACAGCCAGTTTTCCAATTTCAGCAACACCAATGTCAAGTCCAATGGTTTTGAGTAAGTCATGGATCTTTGCATACTCTGCATTTGGCTCTTCTAAAGGATCCATCTTGACAGCTGGAGCAGGAGAAGGAGGTGGGCTCGTTTTCTGTATTATTATCTCATTGCCACAACTAACTGGGGGCTTCTCTATGGGAAGAGATTCAATTTTGGTCTCTTCATCTTCATCACCATAAAGAAATTTCTCTTCGTCCTCAATGTCAGGAAAGCTACGCCTCCTCTTCTCCTGAGCACTGACAGAATCAGCCATCATGCCCAGAATTCGGGAGAAACCACTGCCATCCTGACTGGCCCTCTCATGAGGCAGCAGGAAGTCAGTATGGCGATCAGTGGGCTCTGACTTGGGTTCTACATTTTCTTTGTGACTTAAGAAGCTTCCAAACTTCTCTTCAAACATCAAAGTGTCTTTAGGAGGCCCAGAGGAGGGGTTCCACTCACACAAACCTTCACACAACTCCTTGTTTGAAGACTCCACAAGAGAGCCTTTGTTAAACCGTTTGAGAAAGTTTTCCACTTCAGAAGCAAAAGGAACTATGTTGCTGATCTGGGGCAAAGAAGACTGACTAGAAAGAAGAGGAAGATCCTTGCTGGGGGCTGGACTGCTTGAAAAGCCCTCGGGCTGAAAGAGAGAAGATACTATTTACTTCTAAAGCACTATGCACCTCACAGAACAAAGGAAAGTGTTAATTTCTCCTTGAGTTCACAGCTGAATAAAAGTGTTCGAAGAGACAATATGCAGTTGAACACATATGCAGAGAACACAGAATATTACAAACCAAGTTGCCCAGTAATTCTGGAATGCTATGTCCAACAATGAATGCTTATCTCAGAGAACACACAAAATCACAGTTATATTTCACAAATTTTTTGCAAGCATAAGAACTGAATTTTTAAAATTGAAACCCTGTCACATCATTCTGGATATGCTTTGATTTTAGTCATAGTCACATGGACTATGGACATAGGATTTCAGATAAAAACTACTGCATTGGGGTTATTCTCGGATATTCACTTCTTCAGCTATTCATACTTAATACCATATTAAATACATTTCCAGTAATAGGTATGGAATGGGATGCTCAGTATCTGAACACTCCTGGGATAAATATGTCACTGTCAAACGAACAGTAAAACAGGCAAATCAAAGTGATGTGTTAAAATACAAAAAGTCAGTTTATCACAGTAGTCACAACCACTTATCTGTCCACTGCTCTAATTTTGAGACTCAGTTGGTATAGGTTTGATACAAATTAAGTAGGGCTGATCCCAGTCTATAGTTCAAAGAGAAAAAAATAAGGCAATTTAAAAGTTGTTTTCAAACAGAGGTACTGAGGATGCATTAGGCAGTTCTCTAAATCTACAAAGAAACAAAAAAGAGACACTGTGACAGAGGAAGAGCTTCAATCAATATCCTGACTGCCTGTGGTACTATGAGAGTCAGCTTTTCTATGAAAACTGACCCAGATCTCTGCATCATGGGCTGCATTTCCACAAAGACATTTTATGCCATAACCATTTAAAGTTTCTAATCCACTTCAAACTTATACTGCCCTGCAGAAACATACCTGTCCTCTTAAGGAAAGGAAGACAAAGATTTGGCTTTCCTATTTTGGAAATCAAACTAACATTCTGTATCATGAAGTAACTGTTTTGGAAAATAGAAGCACATAGACACAGAGACACCAAACCTGAACAGCAGAATCTACTTCCATCTCTACTCGTTTCTTCAAAATAGATTTTTTGGGCATGGGTGGGATTTCTTCAGGCCTGTATGTATACCGAGGCTCAGAAGTCTGTAATGTGCTAGTCAAGCCAGGGATCGTATAGCCAGTGCCTGAAACAGCATGATTCAAGTTTCTACTGCGCTCTTCTTCTTCTCTTTTCCTCCTTGCACGGTCAAGCTCTCGGAATTCTTCATTCAGGTACGACGGGCTCAGGCTTCTACTACGGCTGCGGCTTCGCCTGCGGTAGTTTCGTGTTCCTGATGAGAAACCCTGATGCTCTCCACTCACACCATGCATCTTCTCATCCTTTTCGTACCGTGGACGCTTTATTTCTCGTCCCCTCTCCTCTGCCCTCAGTGGGTAGGGGGATCTCCTCAGTTTGTCACCATCTCTGTCAGATCCACGAGGCAGCTCTTCCCGACGGCCATAGTGTGGACTGTAATCTGAACGGTGGAGGAAAACATCTCGGTTGCGGTAGTCTTCATCATGCCTTGGAATGAAGGGACTTGAAGGCTGATCTTCATGTGCTGGGTATCTCTCAAGGCCGCGAGGACATGTGAGGCCTCTAGTGAATATTGGGCCATCAGCCATATCATCCCTGTGTGAGAGAAACACAGAATAGAAGAACCTGAATCAGAGTAAACAACTCCTACTCAAGGGTAAGAAATTTCCAAACCAGTTTCAAAGTAACATCTCCCTCACTAAACAGAACCGACATTTTATGTATTTAAAAGGCAGGGTAGAGAGGGAGACTTTTATTTTTAATAATACTGTACATCCCTCCTAGGAAGTTACCTGCAAACACAGTAACATGAACAATTCAACTCATACTGAAGAATAAGAGCCTTGAAAAATTGACAGGATGGATTCGTTTCTGTGAAAAAAACCCTTACTATCATATTTCAGACCACAATCCCTTTCCTCGCCTCTCCCAGTAAGATGCCAAGGTCAGATTTCCTATGAATTATTCAAAGTATAATTCAGTTTCACACTGGCAAATGCAACCAGATCCTCTTTTTATCCTCAGCTGTGGACAAGGACCACAAATTCTATCAACATTTTCTTTTGCAACAGATATGCAGACAGCACTGTCACTAATCACACGACCCCCATACGTAAAAGGAAGAACAATTTCTGGTATCTATAAACCAAGGAGACTAAGTGTAATGGTACCATTCTTCTGTGCCAGCCCCTGCATTATTACACATAGTGGATGTGCAACTGTCAGAGCATCAGAATAACCAGCTTCTTCTCTTGGAATATCTACTTTTGGACCTATTCCTACAGAAACCTACAATTAGGGGTACTTTTTAAACTAAGGCCTTTTTCTTTATGCCTAATTTACCAGCTGCTGGTTTTACTAATCGATATTTCAAAATCTAGCAAGATCATCCAAGAAACAAAATGTGCTCCCTAAGTGACATCAATGAGACAGAAGACTCTTTCCTGAGTGAATCAATTTGAGCTAAACTATGTATAATGGCCTGAATCCACAAAAATCACGTCCTCCTACTCAAAAAGTTTCCTCCATAAATGTGAGAAGGGACAAATCAAGTAATGCCAGAAGACATCTTCAAAAAAATCTGCAAATAAATTACAGCCCCAGTTTTTCACAACAGACTAAAGAATAACAGAGACACAGAGATGCATAGACAAGGTCTTTTTCTTGGGTATTTTCATAGTTTACACATACATATTTAAGAACAAAATCAACACAAACCTTCACTTTACCTTGCAGCACTGCAAAGCATTTATTAGATACTTTATCAGTCCAACACATAAAATAAATCTGGCATGCACTGTATTACATGGTATCTTTCCAGTTTTCAGCATACTACACATATCCAAAAGCAAACTACACACAATCTCCTCCCAAAAGCACAAAAGTATCTACAAATAGCTAAATTAAATTTCATAAATAAATGTTGTTTTCACAACCTACATAAACGTATGTCTATTCCCAGTGGCACGTTTTCTGAGAGCCTGATAAACCTGTACAAGCTGCATGAACACACTTGATGGAGTAACAGATGTGTTTCACCATATACCTTCAGCTGATTTTTGTGCAAATAAAATTATTTAGATGCGTGTCTGGCAGCTGTCACCTACAATTCAAACACACTGAGTGGGGTGACAAAGCACAGGAGTTTTTAATCATACTTTGGAAAGAAATGAACAACAAATCTACTGTATTTAAAACTAGCAATACATTCCAAATACACTTTGAACAGCTAAAATGCAAATATAAAACCTGAATATTAAATACAGCTGTGGGAAAAATGATTACTTGCCTTACAGGATTCTTTGAAACATGTTTTCTGTGCATATAGTCCAATAGAGTTACATCCCTCTTACTTGGTTTGGATTATTTCAGCCAGTGATGTCCACTATTGGCTACTGCATCCCTGAGAGCGGATACAAGGTGGTACCACTGTGACCATCCCACTTCCTTCACCAACAAAGCATCCATGAATCACTGGAATTTGCAGTTTCAGAGATGGAAAACAGACCACAGACTACACACACATCATGCCTCAGAGACCTACAACTAGTGTAAGGTAATTTACTTTTTGGCATGTTTATTCACATACACAGAAATAGAAATAAATAGTGGTATTCTGCTGTCAGCAATCATCAGGACTCCACTTTAATACAGAGTCTTTGAACAGGGAGTCAGATGAGCTGCTCATATTCAGACCAACTGTTACTCTTGATATCATGCCAAAAAACGCTATTTCAGAACACAGCTTAATGCAGACCAAGTCTCTGCAGTGATTTGGTCTATCTTTTGTATTAACCTCAGATGAAAGAATTGGTGGGATGCTCTCCATAGCTTGTGCCAGCTCAGATAGTAGTAGAATGTCTTAAAAATACTGAGAGCTGGACAGATGGAAGATTGGGAGAGAGAAAAAGATTTATTTTTCACTTTGACAGATTGAGATTCTGGAAGACAAAAATACACTTATTGGTCCAAGCAGGAGACTGAAGCTGCTTAGGTGACCTTGAAGACACAGTGCAGTAGCATCCAGTGTGCCTATTTAGACATGTGCAGGAGACCAGCTTCCCTAGAAACTTGGGGTAAGTTCTTACAGATGTTTTAGGAGAGACCTTCATGGGAACACACACCCTTAGAAAGTCTCCTTGGGCATCCTGAAAATCCACTGCTGCAGGAGACTCTAAAAGCCTTTCTGATTTCCCTCCTTTGGTATTTTATTTCCTTTAGACTAATGAACATCTCTACCCTCCCAAGGCCCTACAAATTACAGAGAATAATATGTCAAAGTGATTGCTTGAAATATCAAGTAGAGTAGTTAGCAAAAATAACTGAGAATAACTAAATAAAAATGTGATATGAGTAGTAACAATAAGGCCATTTCACGGCCCAGTGATAGATATAAAGTCAGTGTTCTGATACCAGGGCAGCCTCTCAGGCAGGGAAAAAATACATGATGAAAAATACTTGATAAACAACATCCTTAACCAAATAGCAAGTGTCTTTTGAAAACAAATAAAATGGCTAGCAGTGAAGAAACTTCTAAGTTTCTTCAGTAGTACCTAGATGATTTAGGAAAATTAACAGGTGACTTGGTTGTCACATAAGGGACAAAGAGCATCACTCAGAAAAGTGCAGCCAGCACAGATCAGACAAAAAAAAATAAAAAAAGCAAATGTAAAAACATGAAGTTCTCTCATACTTACTACCACAAATACAGGGAAATCACTTAAAGATTAAAGTCTACGTGGTCTCATTTTGTTTTCTTCTCATTCTAACTCATCTGTCACTTTTAAACCTTCTCTGGAGTCTATTCCTACCATTCTGTTTCACATGTATGGGTTCTGTAACAAAGAAGTCAACTTTTGTGATTTCTCACTCTTACGTTAAAAAAATTGTGCTAAACCTGATGTTACTTCTAACCATGCATCAGCACCACAGAAGAGGTCAAATCTAAAATCTCACCTGAGAACATGAAGCAATGGGACAAACACCATCACCCCCTGTCCTCAAATGTTCCTAATTTGCCAGAGAAGTGCCAGTTCCATACATATAACTTCCTTTTACTTCCAACCAATCAAACACTGATGCCAGGAGAACTGAGGTAAAGGCATAAAAGTGACAGTACCAAAAACCAAACTCTCATTTTGTTGTCTACACCTGCTGAAACTTAACTTCACACCTGAGAAAGACAGGAAATTCATGTATTCTACTCACTTCCCTCTCTCTCATCTTTTTTTTTTTTAAACAGTTGATGATATTTACATCAAAAATGGAAGTAGTAATGGTTTTTTTCTGTGCTGGATGTTTATCCTTGACCTGAAAGTGCAACTGTATGCTCTGAGGCACAAGCTATGCCATCTTTAATTTTGCAATTCAAGACAAAGAGAATTATTTGCACAGTTTTCTGATTTTCTTTCACCAGATTTTACCGGTTCTCCTACTGAAGGCAAAGAGTTCCTAATTGTATCTACTAAAATTTATACTTCACTGTTCACAGCAGTGAATTATTTTAACACGAAACAATTCTCTCCATTAACTGTTTCCTTCCAATTTCAGTCAAAGGATCTTAAGAATTCTAACACTTCCTTTATAATGTATCAGACTGTCTATGTTCTCTTCTGCAAGGTTTTTAAAGTCAAAATAATAATCTCCTTCAAGCTGCTTTAGAGTTTTCTTCTAGACTAGTCTCAAAAATCAGGAAAATAGACAATTCCTCCAAAAAATGAGGAAGTTGAAGCTTTACACTACCCTTATATTAAACAACCTTCCCTTAAGTAAGGGCTAGGTAGGTTCATAAGAAACAGAAGGTGGCTGAAGCAGTAAAATGTCAAATGAAGTTTCTCCATGTGACATCCCTCCGTTAAGGGGAAGGAAGCACCCCAGGGACTGACATCAGACTCCTTCCTGCAATATATGATGTGCACGCTTTGTTTATATGGGATTTAGAAGCAGCTGACAAGGATTAGAGGAGAAATATCTGTTTAGAGTTACACAGGCAGAGACTTTCATTCAGGAATTCTCTGCACCACAACTTGCAAGAGGCTGGGGGAATATTCCTGGGAAGCATTGCTACGTGCTTACCCTCATTCCGTAGGCATTCAGTGGGCTAAGGAGATGTTTGGTCTCATCCAGTAGAGCCATTCCCACACTGTTTAACCCAGGTGAATCCCCACCTGCAGAGGACCATACCTGTCACTCAGGTTATCAACTGGCGAGCCCAGTCTATCAGGCAGCCTCCTTCGCTCCGGCGTGCCAATGCAATACCGGTCATTACCAACAGTAATCCGCAAACTGTGTTCCAGGGAAGACTCCGAGCGGAGACTCGGTGAGCGCCTCTGTAAATTGAAGAAAGAGTGCAAGCCCATCAATCAGGGGATTTTAATCTCAGCTACAGAAAGGAAAGTGATTCTGCTGTGCTTCATAAATTCGACTTGAGGGGATGGGTCAATTAAAAAAATCAAACTAGAAGAACAACTGTTCCAAATACTTAAATTCTATTTAGTTACTAAAGAAAGGGGAGGGTATTTACTGCATTTAACTTCTCATTCCAGATGCTGATAAACATGCTCTATATTTAACTTATCTAGAAATTTTCAACTCAAAAAGACATTTTATAAAGCACCATTTTGGAAAAAAATATAACACCAAAGAGAAAGTCACAAAGTCCCAAATTTGCTGCTGTTCTCCCTTCTTTGTAGAGAAGCAGCAGCTACATAAAAATAGCATAAAAAATTGTGCCAGGAATTTCTGAACAAAGTGTCTGTATTTCTGGTCCTTTACAGCTTTAGTAACAACATGAACCAGTGTAAACAAAGATTTTCCTAGCAGTTGTGGTTTTAACAGCTTTCCTCACCTCATGCTGCTTTTTCAGCAGATAAGCACAACATAATATTAAAAACACCAATGCCACTAAGAACACCTTCTATAGGTGTCTAACATTCACATTACCATTATTTAAAGCTGGTAGAGATAAACCATAGTAAACTAAATAAAGTTGCCTCTGAAAAATCTACAGCAGAGAAGACCTGAGCTCATTGCCTCTGCACAGACCTTCCTTCATACATATACACAGTACACAAAACACCATCGCAGGTAAGTTATGTTTAACTAGTTTTGCCTCACATTATTTTAAAATACACCAGTGGAATACAAGACTGGTCAGAGTTAAGGGGAGTTCAATAAAAAACAGGTGAGACTCCCTAAAGACAGAGATACCTGATTTGCTTTTTTAAACCAACACAATATAGATTCTGACTAACACGAAGCTGTGAACCAGCTTCAGTTCTGCCAAACCAGTCATGCACTGCACTCTGCTTTTACTGCTGAAAACTGCAGTAGCAAGCAGCAGGTGCACTGAATCGTCCACATCCACCCTGAGAACACGCAGCAGGTTCAGCTCAGTCCTTCAAGAGACCAAAGGAACAGTACATAATCTCCAACAAAAGCAAAAGAATTCCTTTACAAGTTTACCTAACAAAATCCACTTGCAGTACAAACCTGTACTAGAATCCATTGTGCATATAGCTTTATTCTAAGGTAACATATTAGTGATTTCTGTTTTGTTCATTAAGCTGAATCCCAGCAAATATCAGAACACACTTTAATTGCTTTTGAAGACCAACTGTCTTGTCCAGCACAATCCAATCCTGCAACAGTGTGTCTGAGATACAATATATTCAAGGTGCATGTGTCGCATACAAACACATTCTGACTTGGGCCCATTGTAACACTGAATTTTGAGGGCTGCCTCAAGAAATTACTATCTTCAAGGCCATCTTCTTGTCATCAAGACTGTGGGCATACAGATGACAATCACCTCCACTGAAGACAGAGAAGTGGTGATTACATCTCAGAACAAACTCTGGGCAAAGGAAAAAAATATTTTACATTAAGAATGTTTGGGATGTTTAGATTGCTTATGACTGATCTATACAAATTGTCCAGAGACAGCAGTTAGGGCAGTAAATATTCGAACTTTATGATTTTTTAATACTTTTTTTTTAAAACTGGAAAAGGTCCACTTTTAAAAGGTTTTTGTATCTGGAGCACTGAACATCCCCACTAGTCATACCTATGTATACACTGCACTGCATTTTTCTCCCTTCTTGTTCTGTCACCTAAACCACAGTTACCACTGCCGTATTACTGAACAGGTTGCATACCTGCTTGTCATTTCTCCATCCTCTGTTGACCCCACATGCTCCAGTCCTCTAATCTCAGCCAATTTTCTTACAAGAAAGCAAAGAAGCTAAAGCAAACCTTTAAAAAGAACAAGCACGCAGGTCAGCAGGGATAAATAAAAGCAGTATGTGTCAGCCTTGCAAGAACAAATAAAAGTCTGCCAAAATCTCTCGCTGTAAAGCCCTGACCTTCCTCTCCTCCATTACATTTCTCAGTACTCGCCCCAAACCTTTGCTGTCACTCCACGTTCTTCCAATCACCACAAAGTTTTCCTCAGCTATTAAGAAACTAACACCACTCCTACTTACAACACCCAATACATGGCTCCACTGCCAGCATCCCAGTTATGCACAACAAAATCTGTAACAATGCTGTGACCTGGAAATGCATGAAATCCATCTCACACATAATGACAATTTTTTAAAAATCTCAACAACAAAAAAACCCAAAACAAAACAACTCCCAGAAACAAGAAAATTTAGTAAGAAATCTCTAAGGCTGCTGCTTTCATACCTCAATTCATATGTAGGATAGGGACAATAACCAGGAACTTGTACTCAAATTTATTTTCTCCATTTCAACCCCATGCCCTTATCCCATCAGTGTCTTCATTCTACATATTACATCTCCCACCTTTATGCATATATTCCCCTCTTTCAAGTCCTCTTTCCTTGTTGCAACCTAAATTCCTCTTCCTTGGGCTTCTGAATTCATGTCCTTTCAGTGACAGCTCCAAAATCCCACTTACTTATTAGTTATTTGTGTAACTTCCCATATCTACACATATCGTATTCTCAAGCTTCTGAAGAGAAGGTCTTAAGTCATAAAATCCTAAAAATTTTATTAAAACTTTACCCCAGCCAGTCATGATAACCCAACACATCTGCTGTCTGCTCTGTTTCCATCATATTTAGTGCCATTCTTTGGAAAATGACAGCATAATCCCAGCTTTTATCTTTCTCTAATTAACATTTCTTTTGTAAACAGTACCTTTAAAAAATAAAAAAACCCTACATACGTATTTTATGCTTTGTAACATTACTTTTGAAGAAATAGTGCCAGTGGTCAAACACCTGTTGGGGGACAAAAGCTTCCATGGAAAAAATGTGGATGTTACACTCTAAGAATTACTTACACTGGGCTTTAGCAAACGCAAGAGTCAGCACAATATAGGTTGAAGAACTCTATTTAATTGTCTCAAGATCTCTTATTGTGACAATTGCTTCCTACAGAAGGGCTTTCCTTAAATGCAGTAATCCTGTAAATAAACAAAAAATCCATTTGGCTCATCAGTACAGCATTAGCTAACACCTAATTAAATATAGGATAAATATTTTTTCAATCCTCTGAAGTTATAACAGGCAAGAAAAAAAACATTATTCTGTAACAATTTGCTGAGATGACTGATTTAACTTGAGCCAGGAGGATGTAAAGTAACACTAGAAGCGCGACATTTGTTAAAAATAATGTTTGTGTAAAGTGGATGTTTTTGGTGGCCTTCCCCCCCCATCAAAGAGGAACTAGAGGCTCCTACTCAAAACTCCTAGATAAAATTTCACCAAGTCTGAACCATCAATACAGTCAGCATTGAAAGTTTTCTTACAGCCAGCACAGGTTCACAGCCCACCGTGGATACAGTGAAATGTGTAACTGAGTGATGGTAAAGTCAGTTTAAGAAAGTTCTGTCCTGTATCCCAGGTTGCCACCCATCAGTTGTGAACATGCAACTGTCCATCAAGTTAAAACACAAACTGACATGAATCCAATAGAAAAACATTTCCTTTTTAAAAACTATTTATTTTCATCGTGGATGTTACTAGTAATGCAATTTGCAAGGGTACCATACAGGCAACTAAAGAGGATGGAGATAAGGGTGAAATACCACGTGAAAACAAATGGCCAGAGGCAAGTTTCTTAGCCTGGCTTGGCTTAACTGTCCAAGACATTATCTTCCTGCATCTCCAAGGCAACTCACCTTGCAATAAGAAATAACACCAATACCTGAATTTTAATGTCACTACAATCACTCATGACCTCTTCTACGGCTGCAGCTCCAAAGAAATCCGGTAAGAACCTATATCACCACAAGAAAGGGCAATCCCCATTCTCTCTTGGGAGTTCCACCAAGCAATGAACCAGCAGCAGATAACACACTTTTGTGGGACTGACTTTCAGTTACATCGTTTCCTCACATCAGCCCACCCTGCAGTTCACAAATCCACGCCTGAGCACACAGGAGAGGGCAGAATATACTGCAGAGCAAGAGGGAAAGGCAACTATACAGTTTTTAGCAACTGTATATGTGCTGGATTGAGTGACCATGCAACCACTGCCTGGAATACCCCACTATGAAAATCTCTTCTTTCATAGTAGTTCAAACACACAATGAACTCCACAGCTCAAAGTCACCAGACAAAACAATCACTGCACCAAGGAGCAAGAAGATAAAACCTAAGTGAGCGAATCCCACTCACACACACACAAAAAAAAAGTCTTCACACACTCACACTTTGATTTATTACGAAGGTGTCTGCATCCAAGATGCCATCCAGCACAGATACCAAAACAGAGCTTCTCATGCCCAAATCAGACTTTGCCAAGACAAAGTGAGAAGATTGGAACACCCTGTGCACAGCCTCAACTACAAGGCAGTGCCTACCAAAGAATACCTCTCAAAGATATAAATCAGTAACAGTCCTCTTTGTACACCCGCCGTGACAGCAGAAAGAATTCAGACAAAGTACTCGTTCAATTTATGCTATCTAAAAAGTTATATTCCCATAAGTTAAACGATATTTATGTAGTAACACAACCCAATGTGTTGAATGGAGGAAAATTACATCCTCTGACTTAGTGAAAAGACAGCATCATCTTCAAATCTTCTCTAAAATGGCTCTAGCCAGTAAGACAAATAAAAATGCAATGGAAACGAGTGAGAAAACATCACTTAAAATGGAAATCAATAATTTTTTTCCCCATTAGGCTCTCTAAGGAATAGGGGGGAAACTGCCGCTCTCCCTCCGCACAGGGAGAGCCCGGTACCGGTGTAATTTTGCAAGGACCTGGCCACGCCGCGTCTGGGGCTCTGACAGCCGCCAGGGGAGGGGGCAGGGCCCGCACCGAGCCCCTCGGTGTACGGCAGTATTTACCCGGCTGCTGCCGCCGTCTCCGTGCTCGCTGCCGCGGCGGCCCCGAGGCCCGCCGAGCCCCGCTCCTCCCGGCGGCGATGGCAACCTCCGGCTGCGGTGCGGCGACGGGGAGCGGCGGCAGGGCCCGCGGTGGCCCGACGGGGAGCGGTGGCGGCGAAGTGGCGGCGGACGGGGCGAAGCGGAGCGCGGCGGCGAGGCGGCGGCGCAAGCGGCGGCGGGCATCGGCGGGGGAGGCCGGCCGTGGCCTGGCCCCGGCCCCGATGTGCTGAAGCGGGAGGCGCGGGACGCCGACGAGCCGCCCTCCTTCAGCCGGTGGGAGGAGGAGGACGAAGGGCCGGAGCGGCCGCTGCTGGAGCGGTACATGACGGCGCCAGCGGCCCGGGGGTCCCGCGGCTCCTCCGGGCCGGCCCCCCTACGGCGTGCGCACTCCCCGCCGCCCTGCGCGCCCCCGAGCCGGGCGGGGGGGGGGGGGCCTGGGCGGGGGTGGGGGCCTGGGCGGGGGGGGGCGGTGCCTGGGGACGCCCGCACAAAATGGCGGCCGCCGGTAAGTGGGAGCTGTTGCTGCTGCTGCGTTTGGCTGTGCCGCTCCTTTTTGCCTTCCTCCGCGCTTCGGCCCCCAGCGGCTGTGACTAGGGCACGCTCGGCTTTGGTGGTGGTTTTTTTTTTGGTTGGTTGGTTGGGTTTTTTTTGTTGTTGTTGTTCGGGATCTTTTTTGGTTGCTTATTTGCTTGCTGTGGTTGGTTTTTGTCCCCTCCCCTGCACGCGCGCTGTGCTGCGGAGCTGGTCGGTACAGGTGGTGTTGTCTTCAAGCAGAAGTGCGTTCGAAAGCGATCCTTGCCTGATGGATCAGGCGGTGCCGGGGCTGAGCCTGCAGCTCAGCAAACTCCTGAATGGATTTTCGTGCTCTTGGTTGCCGGGGCAGGCATGGCAGGGTAGGAAATGGCTCCCGCCTCCTCTCTCTCCTACCTGAGCCTAGTGCCCACCGAGCGCGCTGCCTGCGGGACCGCACCTGGGACAGCTCCGACTCTCCTGCGACGGCTGAAATATTTCTCTTACTTGGTTCTGGGGACTGTCTACAGAGAGGAAGCGGGTTTTCCATTTACTAAAATAGGGTAGTGGTTAAAAGTAGTGAAAGCAGAGAAATGAAGGTTCTCATAAAACTCTTCAGCTTACTTTCCAAAATCCACAAGCTTCTGTATCTTGATTTGTAATTTATTCTTAGCTGACTGACATGTGAGGGCTTGTATTTGAAGAGCCAGTCGGTTTTTGGCTGAAATTCTGCTTGTGTGTTTGGGAATGTATTTGCTTGAACATACGTACCATTTTGAAGCATACAATTTTTAAGCAGTAGCAACAAAGAGCAGCAGGATGGGGATCTGTCTGATATTTCTGCTGGCAGTGGCTTACTACAATTGTATTAAAACTGACCCCCTTGAAGATTTTCTGAATGAGTGCATCACTACCCAGGCTCAGAAAATGCACTCAGTCATCAAAACAAGCATGAGCTATATAAAGACTTATTTTCTGTTACCATTGTCCTCACCTTTCTGTCCTAAGGCTTGCAGTGTTTATCACTGACCTTAATTCAACTGTAAGAATTTCATCTTTGAGGATGTGCAGCAGACTGCAAATGTACTTCCTGTGGGGCCAATGGATGCTTGACCTGTTCCAATTAATTACCCTAAGCAGCAAACTCAGTGATGCCCAGAGAAGCAGAACACTTTGAGAAAACCACAAAACTGATGTGTATTTTGGAATTTCCCCTCTGGTGTTTTGTGGTAGATCACATGCAAGTTGTTTATCACTGTAAGAAATATACTGTTACCAATATATATTCTGTTATTTTATTCAAAGGAGGGACATGTTTTCATGCCTTAGTGCCAGGTGTCTGTGTCAAGCGCTCTGTTTCAACAACTGAAGTAAATAAAAATAGCTGAATGTGCTTAAAAGAGTGAGAAAAAATACTTGTTTGGTTTTTGACATTTCTTCCATGCTGTTGCTTTCTTTATGTTGGTTTTTAACTATTGTTTGGTTTTAAAATGGACAAGTAAAAAGCCACAAACCCAAGAAACTGCAAAATATTTTGAAATACAGTTTTCTATAATAGTTGTGCATCTAATACCTAAAAACTTTACAAAATGTCAGAAAATAATTTTTTTCTAACTTTTTTGCCTTATAGCCAAAGGCGGTCTACAGGAGGTATTCTAGTGGTTTCTGATCATAGATTTTAGTGGCATTTGGAAGGTGAAAGCATCTAGATAATAAAAACTGAAGAGAAAGTTCATTGAAGGGTCTTACCTGCACACCAGTAAGAAATCTGCTAATGGAAGAAGTGGTGGAAAGAAAGCAAACACCCTGTGTGTTGTGATGTTAAATGAGTTCCTAAGAGAAAAATTCCATTTATTGGAGTCTGACTAGTGCTCGTTAGCAGTTTCTAGCACCCTGTCATCTTACTGAGTATTGTCTTACAATTACAATTTATAATTGCAGTTTATAAACTCATCTTCAGCTAGATGTAGTATCATCTTTTAACCAGATGCCTTAGAAGCTAAGTTTCTGAAGGGACTGAGCATCCATAGTGGGATCCAGTTAAATTATTCTTAAAATCAGTACTGAAATCTGGGCCCAGTGGTGCAGAGCAAATTGGGACTTTTCACATCTTTGGAAGAGGAAGCACTACAGTTTGTCTCAGGGATTGAAAAGGCAAGATCCTTACCTGCTTTGCAGAGGTTTTGGTAACATCCCTGCAATTGGTGATCCAGACACTCACTGGATGACAGAGATGCCAGTCAGTCTGTTCTGGTAGAAGTTCAGCTCCTGAACTCCTCTTTGGAATTCCAAGGCTCATAGTTAAGCTTGCAATTAGCTGCCGCTTGGAGAGGCTTTAGCTAATTGGATGCTGAGGGCAATGTTGGGGTAATAAGATCTCTGAATTCTTATTATGCTCCAAATAAGCAAAGGGGAGCAAATGACATTCAGGAGGAACAGAGTAAGAAAAGCTAGGAGTAGCTTTGTATGAACAAGTAAACAGAAATCAGAATTGAAGTTAATTCAGATTGGACCATTAGGTTAAGAAGCAGACCAGTGGAAGAGAAAAACGTAATACCTTAATTATAATTTTTTACCTTCTTGTCTGAGTCAAGACTAGATCCAGGGACATGAGACAACCATCTAATGTTGAATGGCTAGGTTATGAGTAACAACAAAAACAGTTTCTGTGTTTCAATGACAGAATTGGTGTCTCACAAGGAGATGCAGTAGAAGATACTCATCTCTCTTCTGAACTTTGGCATTATTTTTTTTCACTGGAAAACAGGGCACAGTATCTATCTTGTGCCTTCAGGTCCAGGCAAAGCAGCCTGTTCATGAAAAATTTTGGACTGAGCCAAGTAACCAAACCTTCCTCAGTTGTGTCATCATGGAATTTGAGGATGGTTCAGCTGATAGCAGAGTCCTGGCTGGGAGCACAGAAGACACATCCAAACAGACAATTGCTTTCAGAGATTTTACATCTATAATTACAAGGTTGATATTTCTGAATTTAAGGCTTGTCTAGGCTGGCTTCTGTTTCAGCTCAATATTTACTTATAGCTGGGAAGTGGAATGGGCATGCAGCCTACACTGATTCCCTGAGTCCTGGGATTGGTATTAAGTAGTCTGTTACAAAACAAACTCATCAGAAAAGGGGACGAGCAGTCTCCCTTTGCCAAAGAGCGCTTCCTCACTGGGGATTTATCAATCTAGAGCATTAACAAACTCTGGATAATAGTAAATAAAATCTGGCCTGCATGGTCTGTGGGGTGGATTAAATTAAACCTGATATTGGTGAGGGTTTTTTTTTTAATTTTGAATGCTGTGATTTTTTTGTAATTGCCAGGTGTATAATTATTTATAGTGCGCAAGGTACTTTGTATGCAATAGAGCCAGCACTCCACGTGCCCGCACATCTTAAATCTGTCAAATATGTAGCAGTAGATGGTGTAGGCAGCAATATTCAGGAGCAGGAGAAATAGCCAAAAGGAAACAGGAAAAGGAGGAATGTCTGCTTAAATTCTTGCTGTGATGCTATTTAAATGCATTTATTCAGAACAGGCAAAGTGATTTCAGATCAGTTAGGTGGATTGGTATTTTCCTGGAGTTCCTTTTTTAATACCCTTTTGTTTATTTTCCCATATGCATGTAGGCAATGCTGTCTGGACCAAAAAGGAATCTGTGGCATGTGAAAGTTCTCCATCTTTCAGTTGAAGTGATAAAGCTCATGGTTTTGAACCTGAAGAGGTTAGGAGAGTTGAGCAAGCAGAATGCAGCACATGAAAAAAGAGAAAGCTAAAATACAGTGTGGCTGAATGGAAAAGCTCTGAGAGTGATTAGTTCAGTGGAGAAAGATTGTCCTTTGTTGATATATGAGAACTTCTCTGGTATCTTACTAAGAAAGTATTTGTCCAGTTGGGGTTGTGGGTATTTTGAGGGTATTTGTTTGGTTGGTTTTGGGCATTTCTAAGTTGTTTGGGTTTGTTTGTTCTTATTTGGAAATAAATAAAACATCAGAACCACGAAATCGGAAATCAGCTTCACTTGTGTGCAATTCAGTGCTTCAACCTCACACAACTCCTACTTGCTGTTTTGAGAGTGTACTGCTTTCGCAGCATTTCCATTGAAGGGAAGCTTCCCTGAGCAGAGAGGACATAAAACTTACTCTCAAGGCCTCCTCAGGAAAGTTTAGTCTAGAAACCTTTGGATGACCTGTGGGAGAAAAGACTCAGCTGGCCAAATACAGTGTGCAGCATGAGTAGCTTGGTCATATAAAGGCAACCTTTCAACTCTGACACACAAATATTGCTGTCAGGCATGTGAAAAAAGATTATTAAACAAGGAGAGAGAGAGACTTACAGAAAATGCAATCTCCTGCTCCTTTCAAGGAAGCTATGATTAGAAAGTAGTGTGGCCACTGAGCTCTTGGTCTTAGCTGCTGTTCCACACTCCCTTCGCCACATTGCTCTGTTGTCTCAGGAATGTCACTGATACTTTCCTTCCTCAGCACTACACTGATAACACCTCCAAGCTCAGAGAATGCTTTTTTTATCTCTGGTGAGCTGCATGTTGAAAGTAAAGTTTCCTACCTATGGTAATTATATGCTTAT